AAAGTTATCGACAGTAAGGTATTTTATAAATTGCAAGCATATCATAAATATGGAAAACTTAATGAAAGTCTTTGGTTAGAGATTTCTGCACGGTAGTATTCGAAGGATTCATATCACTACATTTTTCTATCATTTTTCTTTTTTAAAGCCTATGTTCTTACCAACATTTTTTATTTTGCTTTATCTTGATGCAGGATTTTTTTGGGCTTTTTGACTTGGTATTGCAATAAAATTTTTGTTACCAACTCCTTTTGGGCCTCCTGGCCTATGATTTTAAGGTTTGGATTTTCAAGCTTGGATTTCTGAGCTTATGATTCAAATATGTTCTACCAACGAACATGCGCTTGACTTATAACTAAAACATGTGGAGCCATGTTCAAACATGTAAGAACTCGTCCGAATCGTTTTTTCTCGTTTGCCATGCTCATTTCCATTTCTTGCGCACTTGAAGAGCTGTCAGTTTCATCTCTTTCATATTTCTTCCCCCTCCCCCCTCCTCGCCGTCGATGGCCCGTCTTGATGAAAATTTCACTAGTTACTGTGTGATTTATTGCTCGAAAACATTGCTTACGTCTTATCAATGTTTTGTGTGTAAAAACGCGAATTTTCGCACTTCGCTACTTTAACTGTCTCATTCTCTCTCAAAACTCCATACTATTTCCTTAATTTCAGTTTAAACGTGTAGTCCTGGCTCCAAAATATCGACATTGGTTCTTTCCTAGGATGAAAGTGCTGGAATCGTCGAATAAGGATAATCAAACGCAAAAGACGAAGACGTTCCAGGTGATTATTGATTGAATACTCTTGTCTCTGCTGCTTCATGAATGGAATCGAACTACTTAATCCTTCATCCTTTTCTGCACTATTTTATAAACTAGTTTCATAAATCAAAGCTAGACCTTATAGAATTTTTTCGCTTCATTAGACGAACGTTGTGCTCGGATTGCGGCAACGTGCATTGCCTCCTCTGCGTCTCTGACGCGCTGCACTAAGCGCGCACTCCGCTACTCTGCGCTCTAGCCTGGGGAATGGCGTAAATTTGTGGGGAGAAAAACTTAACAAACATAAGAAGAACAGGAAAAAGCATTGATGCACTCTTGAAATTGCACTT